CAACACACACACACACACACACACACACACACAAAATCCATTATTGAGGCTTTTGGCATCCTATATTTCCATCTTTGAGGTGCCTCTCTACTTTCATATGTCAGTTTAGCGCTCGGGTGAAGATTGGGGAAAAGGGCAAGTGTCGGCTCAAGTTTTCTTTTGGCGTCAGTTTTAGGAGGAGACTTTGGTGCTGTTGTATTATGAATGCATTGTAATACTGCTGAGTTTGCCACAACTGGTGAGGGTAGTGTGCAAATTAGTGTTCGGGGATATATGAAATCCCCAGTTATGTGAAAGACAATCTGAACAATTTACCACTGTATCCATTTTTATTTAAAAATGCAGTTTTTCTCCAGTACTTCACTTCACTTTTACATGGTTTAATACAGCTGTTTGGGGACCTGAAACTCACTCAAGGTTAACAATTATTCTGAAAATTACCAGGAATGTCCCCAAACGTTGGTTTTACATCACTTCATAGAAGATTATTGGAATACGACGAGTGGCTGTAGCAGGAAACCAGGATGTAATTTAGTTTTGTACCCATCAGATGATGGATATAAGAAATGTTGGTCAAAGCTTTTGGGTTAAAGGAAGCATTTGACAACGTAATGTGCTTTGATTTCCTGTAGCTGCTGACAAAGGTTGGTGATAAGGGTGACATTAATCACGCACAAACCAGGAAAGGCGTTAGGAATTCCTGCGTGTACAGACGGGGCAAACAGCTGAGTGTTTTCCTTTTGTCTCGTCCCTTACACGTCAGCCTGACTGGAGTAAAACCGACAAAGCCAAAACCTCCAAGACCTTGACAGCCAGTGTTCGTGGGTGGCACTCTGGGCTTCTTGGAAGGGAACCAACAGAAATGGATAGCACGGGCAGGCAGTGCTCACCACTGTAACCTCTGAACCCACAAGGGAACCAACACTCTGGCGGCATTCGTGCATAACGTGCCTGTAAAACAGCAGCCGGTCAGTCGGCCTTAACTAGTTGCTTTATTGAATTCACCAGAGGGTTTACTTTTAACAAGCAATCTCCTGAGACTCTCTATTAAAATGTAGCCTTTCTCCCCGAGCCAAAAATGATTGTTCAAGAATCCTAATGAGCTGAGAAAGAGAGAAAGAAAAGGTGTGACTGCTTATGTGTGTTTTAGTCTTCAGTTCTGCAGGTTTTCCAGCATGTGGGTCCCTCGGGTGCCATGAGGCCCTTGAGCCAGAACCATTAGGGTTCTTGTGTGCAGACCACCTTAACTGTAACTAAACTTGTTAATGAGAGAAGAGACCCTGTGCACCTCTTATTTCACAAGATTACACCTTTTAAAGCAGCATACCTCCCAGATTACCATCAAGCACTTTTTCCCTTTCCCTCGATAGCCTTTGAAGACACCGCTCACGTACAGTGACTGTGAGCCTTGCTATGGGTGCAATGACTAAGATCAACTCAGAATGTATACTTAACTTAAGGAAGGCCTAGTTTTTAGAGACTCTGGATCCTACTGCTCAAAGGGATATGGTTATAAACACATGTGTTTTGAGTGATGAAAGAGGCCGAGTTGTGTCTGAGGACATGGTTTGTATGAGTGACTTGTGTGCAGTCTTCCCTATGTTATCTGATAGCGGCCGTCTGTGCTTTCAGGGCATATGAAGTTTGTTTATTCAGTGACATTGTTTGTTTGACTCTTTAAGGCCGCTGCCACTCATTAACACCATTCACTGCCTCAGGTTATGAGCTGGAGCTCTGAAGGAGCACAAAAAGCAAAGAGGGCGGATGCCTAAGACAGTGCTTTAGCTTTGCTGCAACTTTTTTTTTTGTTCCAGGCAAAATAAGTGGAAGGAAATAACGCAAATTTCTTTGACTTAGTGTGTTTACAAACTGTAAAAGATGCTAAAAATGATTTGGGTAGCAGAGGGATGTTATAGTCAATAGTTACATGAAAAAGAGAGCCTTCACTAATGTCATGGTTCATAAAGGTGATCTTTGCCATTTGCAGCAGACTGCAGTTCTGCCTTACGTTTTATTAGTGTTTGCATTGGAGGTCAATATCACCGTTCCATTCAGCAGTGAGGTTTACAAGTGCTCCAAATGAAGCAATAAAATACACCATTTCTCCATGCCCTCATGTGCTATCTGATCTGATGCTTCAATATATCTTAGAAAATGTTCAAAATAGATGAAGAATTCAATTCACTTCTTTTTTTTTTATATACAGTTTTTGGCAAGTTTGAGCTTCATCGCCCAGACCATAAGAATAAAAACACAAGTCTGTAGCCATTTTATTAAAAAAACAAAACAAAAACAAACAAAAAACAAACCAACAAACCTGTCAGCTGATGTTGGCCCTTTATATTGTTGGCCCATCCACCACCAACCCAACCTCTTGTCTGTTATTCTCTCACATTACCTTTTTTTTTTTTTTGCTTTTTTGTCAGTTGATCATAAAGAGCTGGAGTCTAAGGGCTTAAATTACCCTTCTGTTATGTTGTTCCACTGCTGCTTTCCAGCGTTCATACTGGTTCTGGTTCTGCCTGGATTTTAGATATAGAGGAGAGGAGACATTCTTGGTGTTATTTTTTTTTATGCATTACCAGGCTCTTCCGTTGAATTATATCAGCACTTTGGAATGACTGTAGAGAGGTAAATAGGGGATCCAAAGACTGGCAGAGAGGGTTCAAAGCCCTGTATATCCTGCAGTAAATCCCTTGGAGATTGTTGCTCCCACACATTTAAGGTTCCTCTTCAAAGCCGAGGAGCTTTACCAGCACGAGAGCAACACGAGACAGGGCCGGGGGCTTCCCTTATTGCCCTCCGTCTGTCTCTTCCTTTATCGTCTCACCAGCATGCCATGAGAGGCTGCACAGTACAGAGCGCTCAACCCACTTCCTATGCAGGATCCAAGGCTCTTCTTTTATGTTGCTAGGCTGTCTAAGGAAAAATAAGGGAGCAACAGGGGAAAAAAAGAGATATGAGATTAATAAGATGCATCCCAAATGAAACCCTGTCCCTCAGATGTTGCAAAAGAGGCGTTTTAAAACATGACAAGATAAGGCAAGTTTATCAGCTGTGATTTAGGGGGCCGGCCTCGTATCATTGGGTTTTAAAGGATTGTCTTGCAGTTTGAGACATGATGGAAGAGGTGAGCCCCATTCCCACAGTGCCCCGTGTACTGTGATCGATGCAAACCTGCTAGCTCAGAAAGACAGATAGGTTTGAATGCAGGTAGTATGAAGTACTGCTGCACGTCTGGATCCATTTGTCTTCTTTAGATAACCAGAATGTTTTTCTTGTCAGGAGAGAAAAAGAAAACTTGAACTTCTGTTCAGTCCACATTTCCAGCAAATTCTTTTCTTGAGAGTCCACGGCAATGTCCGTATTTCTTTAAAAGTGGAGCTTGCAGAGAAACTGAACTCCACAGTTGAGCGGGAAAGTTTATTTCTCATTATAACAGCAGTAGTTTGTAAAAACCTGAGAGGAACAGTTTGGGCTTGTTTGTGTTGAGGAATCAATGCCGACTTAATGTGCGTTAAATAGAGAGGTGAAGCCAGGAGGTTATTAGTTTGGCTTAGTACAAAGACTGGGAGCTGGGAAAAGTCCATACTGTGTTTATTAATGAGCTTCAGAAGTGCTGGCAGGGCGGGTTTGTATCTTAACAATCGATGAGGTGAAATTTTCAGCGTTTCCTCCTGCTTACGCACAAATATGACCTCTCCACATCCTGACAGCAGTTCTTAACCTTGTAGTAATTAAGAAATTTTGGGAATCCATAAAGCACCAAGGATTTGTTGCTTTCATCAGAAATGTTAATCATTTCCATTATGGGAATCTGTCATAATGATAGATGAGCGTTCAGCTGAATATTTCAGCTCATTTTTCTACAGCTATCATTGCATCCATGTGTTTCCATTCTGAGAAAGTCAGCATGGCAAACCTCCAGCAAGTCTAATCTTGTTCACTTTCTGAAGCTAAAGCACATGAGTAACAACTTTTAATGTGCTGAAATATTGATATTGTCGATTACTGATTTAAACATGTGGTGTACATCGACGTCTGGAACGGCGCCCGCTCTCTTGGGGATGGTAGACCTCTCTGTACTGACCTTCATACCCCCCAAAAGGAGTTTGTTATATTTACTGCGGCTGTAATGATTTTCCTCTGATTTAAACCTCTTTTATGTTCACTCCCATGTTGACTCTTCCATGTTTGTCAGTGGTAAACCAAATAAATCAAATCTGTCAATGCAGTGCCAGGGAAATGTGGATGTTGTGTTGGCAGCGGAGCGCCACCAAAACGTTGTGCGCTTATGTCTGTCTCCAGCGAACGTGATTAATAGTAGATTCCACTTGATCTTAGCTTTGGTGTTATGCGTGGATAGGTGTTCGGTTGTGCAAAGATGTGGTCCACTTCATATCTTAGCTTATCCTCCAAATTAAAGCGAATGGTTGGAAATAAAAGAATGATGTGCAGAAACACAGTGACCTGAACTTTCTCTTTCGTGTGTGTGTGTGTGTGTGTGTGTGTGTGTGTGTCCCTTCAGATGTGGATGTGAGCCTTTCCTGCAGCTGTTTAAAATGTCCCCCTGCGTTGATGAGTTCAGCTCAAATTTGTGACATTATTCCATTTGTCAGCAAAGTTCTTTGATTTGTGTTACAATTTGCACCAAACTCCTTTGCTCCTGCTCCAAGTCTAATGACAATGGGACTTGCATGTGTATGGAATTATATCAAGACAGTTGTTCCAATAAAGAGAGTCTCATGTCGGTGTACACGCTTGTTATCAGAAGACTGAGCTTGGGTTTAATTGCACTTCTCACTGCTACGGATAGTTAGTTTTATGCCTTCTTTGTGTGGTCCCTTCATTAGGGAAAAGACGTAAAAGCTCTTGTGTACTTGGCTACATAATATTTCTCAGGCTGGTGTAAAAACAAGAAATGCTAAAGCAAAAACAAAGGCAAATGAACTGTAAAGGAGCGTGATTGGCTACTGAAACGTAGCCCCATTAAGCCTGTGAGCAGTTAGGGAGAAACTGAAGTGGTTTGCCTTGGTTTGGTCATTTTAATAGCTGTATTGTTTGGCCACGGAAAAAAAAGAGAAGAAACATCCAGTAATAGACGAGTTAATCCCTACAGCATATTTTCCCCTTAAACTTGGTATAGAAGGACCGCAGCCGGTAGTAATTGCACCCAAAACAAACAATCTACAAACAACAAACTGAACAATATGTTTCACCACATACCCCCACTGGTATCTAGCCATTTACTTGGATACTCTTGGGTTAATTTGCTAAGCTTTTGGGTCTTTTGGGCCACCCAGTAATTACAAAGAAAGTGAGCGGAATTTAGCTTCGGTTTGCAAAACAATAACACATGTTTTTAAACTTACTTTTCAGAAATATCAATTTGCTGTATTTCAATCAAAATCCAGCTAGAAATCAGAAAGTAGAATTAACAACTGGGGGAACCAGAGAAATAAGCGACACAAAGTGGGTAGGTGACATGTTAAACTAATCTCAACTCTGAGGTGACTAGCAATGGGAAATGCTGCTGATTAGCTCATGAGAGGGTGGAAAATATGCAAGAAGCTTACCTACCAACCAGACACTGGCATGTACATTAGCAACCAGCTGCAACACAGCGAATAAACACAACTCCTGGGCTTCAGTTCGCTCTTTCCTAGGTCCTGTATTTGGTCCAAACGAAACTTTGTTGAACAGCTTAAATCAATAATTTTGCAAAGTAATTGAAGACCCAGCTGCAGGTTAGAAAGAACAGACCTACCACCTTTGCAGGGGTGGATCAGGTGTTCTTGTTATCAGGGGTTTCTGCAAAGACCCCTGGATGTAACGTGAAATTAATTTGGCTTGACTGTTTTAGCTTGCCACAGCCGTGACTTTTGGAAAGGTATAGGAAAGGTATTGCAATACTTTGAGCAAAAAACTATCAGCTTTAACGCTTTTAAACAGTGTTGCCATGTGCACCACAGCACTCTGTAGACATTCAGAGGGTGATGACATGTGGGAGACACAAAATCTTTACAAGAAAATATATGCCATGTTAAATTAAAAATACAGGGTGGAGATAACAGATTAGTTTACCATCTCAAGATGTTCCACTGGCCCAGTAAAAAGAGGCTTTTTCATGAGTTCGGATGCTGACAGGATCAGTGTTGCCAAGGGAACCGCATGTCCAATGGGTACTCTCTGACTCTGGCCTGATGTGCGCCTTTCTAAAGAAGAAAATAACAACCCTGCAGATGCAATTAAGGGAATTGTGTTTACACTGCAGCCATATGTGCATGTGCTTTATATTGCTTGAGACAAATACATCAAAGTCAAATATCAAAAGGCAGCATTTTCTGTTTATTTTTTCATAAAATGTGTTTTAAGGACTTGCGCGCACTTTTAATGTGCTTTTAACATAACTGAAGTAAGTGGGTAATTAACCTGCAACTGAACTGGCATCAGCATAGCTCAAACTGCATCAGGGAGCATTTCAATTAAACACATCGCCTCACCAATGGAAGTTATGTGAGGCATGGTTTTTAGATCGGGCTGTCCACGGCAATCATACGAAATTCTGCTGCCAGGAAGTCACGCAACATAACAGGTTCTTTCATAAACTGGGTAGACAGATATTTGGACATAACATCTTCTCTCTCTATCCAGGTGTACCCTTGCAGCAATGACAAGGAGTGCAGCGTGGGCAGCTACTGCCACAACCCTCAACAGGCTCCTTCTCGTTGCCTCACCTGTCGCAGGAGGAAGAAGCGCTGTCATCGAGATGCTATGTGCTGCCCCGGCAACCGCTGCAGTAACTGTACGAATACACACACACACACACACACACACACACACACACACACACACACACACACA